AAGTGAAAACCATGCTGGCCACTTTCACATACACAACTCTTAATCTTATAACAACTTAATGAGGTGGGTTTAACTATGTGCATTTAAAAAAAGATGGGGAAATTATGATTCAGAAAAGCTAAGCAACTTGCCCAAGGACAAGGCAAACCAAGGTCTGCCTGACTCTAAAGTCCCTTCTCTTCCCACCATACTGTGCCATCTTCCTAACAGAAGCTGCTGGGCCCAATTCCTATAAAGGTAACATGCTTTTCAAGAAAGAGAAGTATTTAAAGGACTATGTTCAGAATAATTCCCTTATAATAGAGGCAGACGATAAAAACAAAACCTTGCCATTTGGCCACTAAGTAATTTTTGTGGAACTATGGGGTGCTCTTAAATCCTTACATACTCTTCTTTGTTTGATTGTAGTAAAAACACACACACACACAATTTTAAATGCACCATCTTAACCATTTTTACATGTATAGTTCAGGAGTGTTAAGTGCATTCACATCATTCTGCGATAGATTTCTAGAACATTTCCATCTTACACAACTGAAACTCTATACCCATTAAACACTAATTCCCCCTCCCCTCTTCCCCCAGCCCTTGGCAACCACCTTTCTAATTTCTGTTTCTATGATTTTGACTACTTTAGATGTTTCATATGAGTGGACTCATACAGGATTTGTCCTTTTGTGACTAGCTGGCTTCACTGAGCATACGACCCTCAAGGTTCATCTGGGACAGGACTGACTCCTTACACGCCCTTCCTGACACCCTTTCTTCTAATCGCCTATGCCATAAAATTCAGATCTTTGTCATATGCTGCCTGCCACTGCTCTGTTTCATGTGTATACACTCCCTTTCCCTGCCAGACAGTAGCCTCTCAGTGATCAAACATTATGTCTTTAAAAGTCTTTTAGGCCCAGCACCCAACACTGTGCTGAGAACATGGAATATATACCCTGGAGAGTAAACTCTGAGATTGGAAACTATTCTGTTTTATTTACTGCTCCTCCCCAGCAACTAACACAATGCCTGACATAAATAAAATGCATAGGACATATTTTTAAAGGAAATTAACAAATTCAGTATTTCTGAGGACTGACTGAGAATGAAAAGATGAGAAGTTAGAGACCTGAATCTCCAGCATCATTTCTAAGAATAATCTAAAAGAAGGGAGGAAAGTATTATTAACTGAACTAGAATCAGAATCTCTGAAAAATGTGTGCCTTAAACTTATGCAAAGCAGAATACCAAACTATTTATAATCTAATGTTGAATAAGAGGGCAGAAGGACAGGGTGACATAGAAAATGGTTCCAGTTTCCCAAGATTTCCCATTCCTCGGTGGCATTTCAAGTTCATACAGATGTTCTCTAGAGAATGGGAGCTGGCCAGGTGGAGGAGCCCATGCCCACAATGTCTTGTCCTATCACAAAAATGTAGGAACAAACTCATGGCTGTGCTCTTTCCGCAAATTCCCCTACCTTTCATATCGAGGAACAGACAAATCCCCAGGATGCATGTGTGAAAAAGCCAGAGGTGGATAAAAATAATTCAATGACAAATGCTGGAAAAACATACAAAGGGGCAGGAGCCAGACATTCGTGGGATTCCCTGACAGCTTGATCCACAAGGAAGGGCTGGACTGGAAAAAAACAGGGCCTCAGGTTCCTGCCAAGCTGTCTGAGGCCCTGTTCTTCCCAAATCATTCCAAGCAGCAGCCAAGACTTTACAGTAACCCTTCCATGTCTCACAAAGCAAAACGCACTAAGAACCCACTGAGTGCTCCACACCTAGAAAATCCTCCCTGATGTAGTCCAATTCCATGGAAGGCTGGCAGTAATGACAAGATGGCTCTGCACATCAATTTTCAGCTCTTAATGACTCCCCATGTGCCCAAAAAATGGATAATTAAAAGGCAGCTTGAAAAACCTAATCTTTCTCATTGGCTGAAGAAAAGCTAACATACCCACGTATCAGCACCTAGAAACTGAAAACATCACTTTAAGGAAGAGAGAGGTCATAAGCACTTGGTACCTGCGTCCTGGAGTCCCTACTGTAGAATTCTAAGTCGGCCTCGCTTGGAGGCACACCTCAGGCTTCTGAACATGTGACTGTATTTGGCTCTAACTACTTTCTCTTCTGGAGAATGGCCTGCAATTAATCTCACTTATTACCTCTGAAAAGTAACAACAGAGGGATGGCTGGCCAAGTCCAACTCCAGAGTGTCTAGGGAACTGCAGGCTACATGGCCAGGCCTCAGACTGTCTGGGCAAGTCGTGGGCTCTTTGCCTTCTTCTCCCACAACAAAGCCTGAACAGGACTCCAGACAGACCAAAGGAACCAAGGGATTTGAGGAGCTGGGCTGAGCTTCTACTGACCCAATGGGAGACGACAACCCTGAGGCTACATTTGGGGTGATTTCAAAACAGCGGGAGAAGAATAAGGTCGTTGGATGAAAACTTGTGTGATCCATAAAATTGGGAACAATAGCAACACCATAGGGAAATGAAAAATAACACTATTTGCAGAGTTCTTGTGAGTCACCAGTTTTCATTCCTGTGGCTACCAAGTCAGTGAATTCTCTGACATGCAGAGATGAAAAGTACAGCTAGGAATGGGATTCTCTTTACATTTTATTACAGTTTACAGGGCAGCCCCTAGTTTAGTGAATTATCAGAACTAAACTGGAATCCACTGTTGCTACTGTAGAAAAACTATTCAGAGTACCTTTTATTTATCTAGCACCTACTTCCAGGGAGATCAAAGTGCTTTAAAGGCAATCTAAAAGCTCTCAAAACAGGCCACTTTATATGTAAGTATGCTTACCCAATAAAAAGATTAAATGAATAGCTTAGGGTCACTGAATGTCAAAACCAGTAATAAAACTCAGATCTCTAAGCTACAAATCCTGTATTCATTAAACTTAGTCACCCTTACGACTAAAGGAGGAACAACAAGAGACTAAATATCCACAAAACAGTGACTTACCAGGTAAAAATGGAAACCAGGATATTGGGCTGTGCAGGTTGTATGCTGCAGGTCTGGCTGGGGCCTACATCACAGCCAAGTCTGGAAAGACCTCTGAGAATTCACTCAGGGCTCCTTTAGGGTGGGTGCCTCTGGGAATTCCATGTGGAACTGGGACTCTCAAGCTCAGGCTCCAGGCAGTTCTGGCAACCAGAGGTCACCTGGGGGCAGAGGAAAATGTCCCAGGGCTACCCTGAACTGAAATGGGACTGAAAACTGGCTCCTGTGTTTGAGGAGGAGGTAAAGAGAGGGCTGCTGTGGGTAAAAAGAACTCGAAAAGGAAAAGACCAGGGGACTTTGTGGGGGTTGCTTTTTGGCTGGAATGGGTCAGAAGTCAATCGTGTAATGCACCATGAGCATTACTGCAGCCTCGTGGGCAGTCTGGCTGGGAGAAGGCCACTCACAGTGCTGAACCTTAGGTCCTGGCACATCCTTGACCGAACTCATCATCTTTCATTTCACTATTAACAAGTGCTACCAAAAGAAAGCTCTAAATCCAGCTACAATTTTTATTTAAAATGTTTTTCCTCATTCCATCTACAAGCATAAAAAGTGCTAAAACTCAATGTTTCCAAAATGTGTGGTTTTAACATTTTGTTTACAGTAGGAGCAATGCCTGTAGCCTTGTCATACAGACATTATATTCAAAATTGCAGTGAAAATGTCTTCCATAAAAACAAGGCTCTGAATTTAAAATGAAAATGGAATATCTGGAAATTTTTTTATGGAAAATAGAGCTCTATGGTATCAACAGAATTTCTTGTTTACGACTGATGTTTTACAGCAGACTTTTCCTGGGGAGAGAACCGTGTGGAGGATGCTCTGCCTTAAAAAGTCCTGCCTCTTGGTCTTCGGCTCTTTATAATTCTCAGTTCAGATGATTCTTTTCGCCCCGACCACAATGATCACTGGTATGAAAGACACTGTACCACAGGATGATGTAATGTGCTTATATTTATGCTGCTTCCTGGGCAGAGCTTCTGCTTCCCAAATTAGTTCCTTAATAATTCTAACACCAATAGATACTCCACCAACAACTAGGTATTTCCTCCATGCCCAAGTCTTTAGTAACCCCTCCAAATCTCAGGGCAAAGCAGCATACTAAAAGGCAGAGGCTGGAAGTACTGGCACGGGGTGTGGGGGCTTGGTTGGGCACCTGTGGTAGAACTTCTTTGAATGGAGGGAACAATATCTCAGCTGGTCAAAATACTTCATTGTAACAGTCACATTTCTCTCTAGCTCATTCGACTCAGGAACTGATGCAATTTAATCCATACTTAATAGGCACTAAAGCAAGATGTGCTGGAAATCCATTTCTTACGTTTTTGTTTTTGTTTTTATTTTTTATACAGGGGTAATTAAAACACACAGCAAGACCAGAATTTAATAGAGTGGTTTCTTTTTTAATTTGGAAGTTGCTTACATTATGGCCAGAAGCTACTTGGATTTTATCTATAGCCACATCTCTCAACTGCATGAAGGAAATTTCCTTCCCACTTCCCAAATGAGCATTGTTCAGGGAGGTTGTTTGAGTTCAATTATATGACACGAGATAAAAAAGTAAAAAACAAATATGTCCTTCAAAAGAACAGAATCTAAAGTTACTGAAACACAATGTAGTATTAAAAAACTATAAAAAACACAAGGTATATAAAAAAAATTAAGAGACAAGGACAAAGTGCCAAAAGTTGGCACATTAAAATGTTGACTATAAGCAAGGATTACACATAGTATAAATTCTTGCTCTTTTATCCCAAGGTGATTGTCTTAGCTATCTCAGAAACATCCTTTTCATTTGATATGCCTGAAAACTGTCTTACAAATAAAATGAAGCTCTCTTAGGTGCCAGAGCATCGAGGCAGGTGAAGAAAGGGCATATGCCTTAGTGCTATCTCCATACAGAACTCAAGGTGGGAATGGCTTGGTTGGGACAAAGGCCATCCCTGCGTTACCCAAATGCTCATTGCAGGGCCCTTCACATACCTGCTTCCGGGAGGGCTGGAGTGATTCTCAGGAGCTTGAGGGTCCGACTGCACCAACCATGTGGGGCCACTAGGGCTGATGATGGGTCGGAGGGTGGGGGGAGTTGAAGCACTGCTTCTGTTTATGATGCCAGTGGCCAAATTCAAGTTTGTCACCTAGAAATAAAGCAAGGGAAATGACCTGACTTTACAGAGTTTTTAAAAAGGATCATTAACAACATATAGGTAAAATCAAGTCAAGACCAACAGATGCTGACCCCTCTGAGCTGAAGCTGTGGCTGTGATAAAGGCACCCAGGAAGGAATGGCTCCTGTGCACAAAGAGCAGAAGTGAGGGTGGTCAGTGTCAATGTAAGTTAACAAGCATTTATGTTGCTCCTACTAAGTGCAGGGCACTGGACTGTGCTGGGTGCTATGGAAAACACAGACGAGTAACCAAAACAGCAAGAATCTACTGAGTAGACAATGTTCAAAGAAACTAGGTAAATTAGTTTTTCTGCCCTTGTTTCCTCATCTGTATGTTCTAAATGCTCAGTAAATTTCAGTTATAAATAACATTAATTATTATAATGCACGAGGAATCCACTGATTTAGAAAGAAAAAAAATGGTTAAGAGAAAAATAGTCGTGGACTTCAATACACAACGTACAAAGGAGGAATACAATTAGCCAATTAAACATGTAAAACTAGTCATCATTTCTACTGGTAAATGTAAATTATAAGAAAGACATGCAAATTACAAAGAAATGCAAGTTACAAGACACCATTTTTGCATATCACGTTGGTATACAATATTTAAAAAGATAGTATCCAATAATGGCAAAGGGTGAAAATAGGTACTTATACTACTTGTGTGACTATAAATTGGTAGAATCTTCCTAGAAATCAATTGGCAATATCTTATTAAAATATATTACAATATGTGTACACTTGGATACTACAATCTAGCTTCTGGGAACTAAACAACAAAACAATTGCAGATGATTAATGACAGATGACTATCATAATAGCAGTCAATATTTATTAGAACTCATTATGCGCCAAGCTATGTGTAAATGAGTACGTTGCACACATCTCATTTAAATTGCCACAAGTCTGTTGGTAAGTACCATAATAATACTCATTTTATAAGAAGGAAACTGAGGCCTATGATTGCATTGAGGCCTAGAAATAAATGGCAGAACGAGAATTCGAACCATAGTTTTTCAACTGTCAAAGCCCATGTTCTTACTCACTACACTATACTGTGAATACTGAAAATCAGGCATTGTTTTCAATACTGAAAAAGGAGATCTAAATGGTTAACAATATTGTTAAATAAATTTTGCCCTAAGTAAGACATTATTACATATGCATTAATGTTTTTTGAAAAACAGGCCGGGTGCGGTGGCTCACGCCTGTAACTCCAACACTTTGGGAGGCTAAGGCGGGTGGATCACGAAGTCAGGAGATCGAGAGCAGCCTGGCTAACATGGTGAAACCACGTCTCTACTAAAAATAATAATAATAATAATAATAATTAGCCAGGTGTAGTGGCGGGCACCTGTAGTCCCAGCTATTCAGGAGGCTGAGGCAAGAGAATTGCTTGAACCTGGGAGGCGGAGGTTGCAGTGAGAAGAGTTCATGCCACTGCACTTGACCCTGGGCGACAGAGTGAAACTCCGTCTCAAAAATAATAATAATAATAATAATGATATAGGAACATGCTAATATTTCAAGTAAAAAAAAATCATGGTAGTAAAAATTACAATATGAAACTGTATAGAGTAGATCCAAATTTCTTTAAACACATACACACACAAACACAAGTGAACAGACACTCCTGAAGACTCGAAATAAAAATCCAGACTATAAGTAGCATTTATTTCTGAATTACGACTGATTTTCTTCCTTATCTTTATTCTCCAGATTTTCTAAACTGGGCATGTATTACCTTTTATAATAAAAAATTATTTTAAAGTAGTTATGGCAAATATAGACGTATTTAAAACCTGGGCAGTGGTAGTGGAATCAGAAAAGAAAGAATGGGGCCGGGCATGGTGGCTCACACCTATAATCCCAGCACTTTGGGAGGCCAAGGCGGGTGAATCACAAGATTAGATCAAGACCATCCTGGCTAACATGGTGAAACCCCGAATCTACTAAAAATACAAAAAAATTAGCCAGGCATGGTGGCGCTACTCAGGAGGCTGAGGCATAAGAGTGGCATGAACCCAGGAGGCGGAGCTTGCACTGAGCTGAGATCGCGCCACTGCACTCCAGCCTGGGCAACAGAGCGAGACTCCGTCTCAAGGAAAGGAAAGGGCAAGGGAAAGGGCAAGGGCAAGGGCAAGGGCAAGGGAAAGGGAAAGGGCAAGGGAAAGGGAAAGGGAAAGGGCAAGGGAAAGGGAAAGGGAAGGGGAAAGGGAAAGGAAAGAATGGTTCTGAGAAGCATTTCAAAGTAAGATGCACCGGGACTGTTGAAGAGAGAAGACACAAATCTGAACGCAGGATTTTGATCATGAGACACTAGAGAACAGTGGTGAAAGTCATCAGACTGGAAATGTAAATTCCAAGGAAAATGTTTTGCTATAAAATGTTCTAAGTACCTAATAATTTTGAAACTACAAATGAATTATGATTTTTTTTTCCTAAAAATTTTGAAAGAAAAAAGGTCATTTTTAGCAAGAGTATAGTGTTTCTTTCCTAGTTATAGAATTCAGTAAGTGAAAACAGCTCAGGACTGTGTCTTTACACCAAAGGACTAAAAATACTTTTCTTGGAAAGAAAGTTGTTTTCCATAGGTCAGGAGCAAATCCCAGTGTCTGTGGAGGCTGCACCCTCCAGTGTGGACCAGTCTTTGGAAGAAAGCCTCACTGGCCATACGTGACTTACCATTTCTGTCCCCTACTGCTTCTACAAGGGGGAGAAGAAGGGCACATGCTGACTAAAAGGCAGAGAAGAGGCCGGGCTCGGTGGCTCACACCTGTAATCCCAGCACTGTGGGAGAACGAGGCGGGTGGATCACAAGGTCAAGAGATCGAGACCATCCTGGCCAACATGGCAAAACGCCATCTCTACTAAAAATACCAAGATTAGCTGGGCGTGCGCCTGTAGTCCCAGCTACTCGGGAGGCTGAGGCAGGAGAATCGCTTGAACCCAGGAGGTGGAGGCTGCACTGAGCCGAGATCGCGCCACTGCACTCTAGCCTGGTGACAGAGCGAGACGATTGTTTCAAAAAAAAAAAAAGACAGGAAAGATATAGTAGCAAATTATGGTAGTAACTTTTCCGGTCACTAGTTTCTCTGAAATGCTTTGTCCTTCTTCCCATATCCTAAGGGCAACGTAGGTCAGGCCTTCAGACAAGGAACCAGACTCCCTGTACTCCTGAACTCACTCCTGCCCCACACCGACTCCTCTGCTTTCCTGCCTTGATTTGATCATCAGATCTTTTATATTAGACATGATCTTGAAACTTGTAGAAAAACTACAGTGAGAAAGGTCTTTATGATAACAGCTTCTCCAATTACTGCTTTAGTTGTGCCAAAAACTTAATAAAGGAGGTTTAATAATTTATAGGGGAATATCAATAAACAATGTGCACACTTTACCATGTTTAGTATAAATGGATATTAAAGTGGAGGTCATAGCCATTGGGCCAGTTGGCTACTCTGGGCTAATAACTAGTGTCTATGCTATTAAATCTAGGCTTGTCAGGCTTGTCAACCTACGAATTCATGTTATTGGTCACAAACAGGTCTGGAAAACAGACAGGAGACAGTTTAAAACCTATAGCTTTTTTTTTTTTTTTTTTTTAATTGAAACCATGACTCAAAGAACATGCCCTGCTGGTAATGGTAATCAACATCTTTACATGAAAAACACAAGTATATACACGTAAGAAGCTTATAAGTCCATGTTTGGACCTTTAAAATGTTCTACTGTAATCAGTTTTAATATGCTACATTTTAGATCCACTACAGCAACAGTAATAATAACAACAAAACTATATTAATACTAATGACGGCTAAATTCAATAAACAGTTTGGGCCAGGCACGGTGGCTCACACTTGTAATCCCAGCACTTTGGGAGGCCAAAGCATGTGGATTGTTGGAGCCCAGGAGTTCGAGACCAGTCTGGGCAACATGGTGAAACCCCGTCTCCACTAAAAATATAAAAATTAGCTGAGTGTGGTGGTGCACACTTCTAGTCCCAGCTACTAGGGAGGCTGAGGTGGGAAGGATTGCTTGAGCGCAGGAGGTGGAGACTGCAGTGAGCTGAGAACACACCACTGCACTCCAACGTGAATAACAGAGCAAGACCCTGTCTCAAATACACACACACACACACACACACACACACACACACACAGCTTGTTCCAGGAAATGAGCTAAGCATATTTTATGTATATTAACTTATTTAGTCTTCAAGACAGATAGATGGGGAAACTGAGGTTGAGAGAGCAAATAACTTGCTCAAGACCAAATAATTGTTATGTGTCAGCCCCTGGATTCAATTCCTGGTCGGCCTGATGAAAATTCTCCCAATCTTGTAGGGTTTTTTTTTTTTTTTTTTTTTTTTTTTTTTGAGACGGAGTCTCACTCTGTCGCCCAGGCTGGAGTGCAGTGGCAGCAATCTCGGCACACTGCAAGCTCCAACTTCTGGGCTCACGTTATTCTCCTGCCTCAGCCTCCCAAGTAGCTGGGACTAAAGGCATGCGCCACCATGCCCAACTAATTTTCTGTATTTTCAGTAGAGACGGGGTTTCACCGTGTTAGCCAGGATGGTCTCGATCTCCTGACCTCGTGATCTGCCTGCCCTGGCCTCCCAAAGTGCTAGGATTAGAGGCATGAGCCACCGCGCCCAGCCCCAGTGTTGTAGTTTAAATCACTGTGTTACCTCACTGCCTTGTACCATTGAGCCTTGCGATTTAGAATTCGGTCTCTGGACCAAGAGCACCTGCATTACCAGGAGCATATTACAAATGCAGAACCTCAGCCCAGCCCCAGCCCCAGCCCCAGCCCCAGCATCTCGGCCCAGCCCCAGCCCCAGCCCCAGCCCCAGCTGCACTGAACCAAAATTTGCATTTTTAAGATCCATGAGAAACTTACTTGCATTATAAAGTTTGAGAAGCACTTGTTACCAGGAATGGTAGACAAGGAAAAGAGAGAACAGGC